GCATGAAATTGAAGCTTTGAAATGGTTTAAATTCATGCATGTTATGTTTGAATTATATTCTTGAAAATTGGTTTGAAATTGAGTTGTTTGAAACACCCTTGGGCTTTGATTTTACAATTGAGCTTTGGAATCATGTTAAACTATGAGTTTTGGGATGTTTTCTGGAAAATTGGCCCAAGAGGATCGAAATTTATGTTTTAAAAGTTGAATTTGAGCTTGAGGTTCAAATCTGGGAATTCCAGATTTTGAACTCACGCTCGAGCGGGGTGACTGGCGCTCGAGCGTGAAATTCGTGCTCCCAGTACTTTGCACTGTTTTGAAGACCGCTCGAGCGGAATAATTGACGCTTGAGCGGGACTTTCTGTCTCATGCTCAAGCGGGTGTCGAGCGCCCAATCGAGCGTGATTTTCACCTATCCAGCACTTTTGACTGTTTTGCATAACGCTCGAACGGGTAAGTCTACGCTCGAGCGGAAACCTTTGTCTGCATGTTCGCGCGAGCGGAGTAACCTACGCTCGAGGGTGACCCCTGTTTTCTGAAAATTCTGAAAATGCTTTTGAAAATGCTTTTAAAGTGCATCTTTGCATCCTCATCTCATCCTAGGCATTATTAGCCCTAGTTTAAGGCATTTTAATGAGGATATAGATGTAGAACCACACTGAGGCAAATTAGGGATTAAGTTATTATTTTCCCAACTGTGTAGCTTAGTGTGTGTTCAATCTGTAACTGTGTAGGGTTGGCGACTGGGGACACGCTCTAGCTTTACTGTAACCCAGAACTCTGTGAGTAACAACTGTGTAAAGATATGTTCAAAATGATTATCTTCTGAACAATTGAACTGTACTACTTTCTGAACTGATACTGTTAATTGAATGAATGTATGTCCTATATTCTGAACTGTACTGTGGCATCCTTAGCAACTAATGTTTACTGTTACTGTTATAGAGATCTCTGTCGGTTCCCTTGTTGGAACCACTACCGTTTACTGATTGATGGCCATCATTTACTGTTCGGTCTTTTAAAACCTACTGTTTACTGTACTGTTATGCTAATGGATGTACCGCATATGACTGAATGACTGATATACTGAATTAACGAACTGTTTTCATTACTGTAAGGACATTCATTCTTAACCTCTTTACGCATTACGTTATTCACTGGGCTTTAGCTCACTGCTTATATATACTAGGTGTACAGGCACCAGACCGCGGCTAGAAGCATCGGGGTTAAGCTCCAGTTTTGCACTGCGAAGTTCCGAGCCTGTCAAGTTATGGCTTAGGGGTGTTTTAATTTCCCCGTCCGTCTCTGTATCTGTTTTGTAAAACTGTATAGATTGTTATCGTACTATTTAATAGGGATAAGGCCCCTGAACTAAATGATTGTATATATGTACATACTGTTCTGTATTGTTCATGTATATGTGTATAAAAGTCTTTTTGGCATACAGACTGTCACAGCTCATTGGACATTGTTTATTTACTGTTTTGGTTTCTACCATGCCTCTGTACTCTGTTTTTACTGTATTATTGTTAAGTAGGCCTTCGGTAATCTTGGATTACTGGCCGGTTACGGTGCTAAACCCATAGGGGCGGGTTTGGGTCGTGACACTAATGAACCCCCTAAGGGATTAAACCATTAGGTGTAGCACCTCCATTTCACACTTAGGCAAACAAGGAGTTTAAAACCACTTTCAAAGCAAACAAAAGAGTGAAGAATGGAGGAGGATTGCAGAGATTTTAAGTGCTGAAATGAAGTGTAAAACAACACTAAAACATGCTATTAACTCAAAACAATGATAATTAAAGCATTAAAACATCAAGCTAGTGAAAGAAATCACACTACAACTATGCAACACAAGGTTCAAATGAATTAACCAGCCCAAAACAGCCAAAATAGGTCAAAACAGAGCTTAAAACATGTTGGACTTAAGCCACAAAAAGCTAAAATAATAAGCTAACATGTAAGGCTAACTAGGCATGCAAACAAGGCACAAGGAGGAGAGGTTAACCCCTCTAATTTTGGACTTCAAACAAGGTTTTTACCACCGAAAAATCTCTAAAATTCAGTGGGTAAAATGCCTAAAAAAGTTGATTTAAAAGAGATAAAAAAATGGTACAAAAGCTTAACAAATAAAGAAGCAAGAATGCTGGACCACCCCCTAACTCAAAGAGACCTCAAACCAACACTTTTAAGTCACAAAAACAGAGTTTTGACAGTTCAAAATCAGCTCAAAAACAGTTGGAAAATGTGGTAAAACAAATATACAAAATAAGCTTAAACACGGTAAGTGCTATACCTTTGAAGCAAAACGCAAAATAGCCAATAATCCAAACTCAAACCACCTTCTAGAGCTCACACAAGACTCCAAGTAATCTCAGCCCAAAGGTGAGAGTATTTGGTTAAGGGTTGATGTGCAAAGGCTAAGGACTTATGAGCAAATGTGTACAAAATAACAAGAGAGAGAGAGAATTATAGAGAAAGAGAAATATTTTTTGCTCTAATTTTTCTAACCCTCCAAAATGGGGGAAGGGACCCCCCCATTTATAGAAAAACACCCCTTGAGCTTAGAAACATCTCACCATACACGTGTATGGAGATGCAGCTCAGTATGCAACAGCTGGCATAGCTATCAATAAATATTTGAAAAAAGGCACTGGTGGCCGTTAGTCATCACTAATAGCTGACCGGCCACACCCATGGCCGACAGAAACACCCCATGGCCGACAACCTTGGGTGGTGGCCGACAGGTCACCGAGAGGTCCAGACACCAAGTTTTGGTCCAAAACAAGGCACAGAAAGAACAAGGTTCAAAGGCTCAAAGACAGGGTATTCCATCAAGGACTTCGGGCACTCAAAATGAAAACATACACACATTCATCAAGTGTACGAGCGATGACGTCTAAGTCTTGAGGATGGTCAAAAATGGGTGTCTACAACATGCCACTGTAAAAAAAAAAAATTAACAAAATAAATTTGGGAGTTCATATTAGTCTTACTTTATAATTTTTTTTTTAATTTTTTATTCTAGTTATCTAATAAGATGCCATAGTTTTTTGTATTCGTACTAACCTGGATAGTATGGTACAAGCAATGGAGAGTCTTTGACAAACGTAATGAAAAGTTTTCGGCGAAGGTAGATGGATGGTTGGCCGATGGGAACAAAATTTTTTAGGATTTTTGAGACACAGATAGTTGAGAGTTTGTTTAATATCATAAAAAATAAATCATAGTAAAATAAATAATAAGATCTTAAAAGGTGTAGTTTTGATTTTTAGGATTTTTTTTACAAAAATTTTTCAAAACGAAATGGGCTTTTTACTGCAGCGCTATAGTTTGTACACGTATAAAAATTATAGGGTAAATTACAAATACACCCCCTGAGATTTATGTAAAATACGAATTGTTTTCTGTGATTTGAAAAATTACAAATACCTCCCTGTCAGAATTTTTTATTTAACAAAATTAATTGAAAAAGTGAAATTTCTAACTGTTCGCCTATACAATAATAAAATTATCTAAATTATTAATTGAAATAAAATTTTAACATTATTAAAAACTGTTAATTAACTTGATGATTTACTAATAAAATGACCTATTTGTTATTAAATTAAAAATCTTAGGGGGTATAATGTAATTTCTAAAACTACAAGAAATAATTTATAATTTAAATAAATCTCAAAAAGTGTGTATGTAATTTACTCAAAATTATAAGGTAATAAATAATACGTATGTGCAAAATATTGACAAGGAGATAATGGTAGAGTTGTCTGTCAGTGTGGTTCAGCGTGGCTCCCTCTTGAGGTCTCCGGTTCGAAACTCATGGATGGGAGAATAATTTTTCAAATTGATATGTTTTATTTGTGTACTATGGTCTTAAATTTTTATGAAATGTGTTATTTATAAAATATAACAGTGTATGATCATTCTAATGTATGTACCATTGTCGTATTAATTTTTTGTCAAATGTGTCATTCTTCTTAAAATGTAGCAATAAGACATTTGTACACTATTGTCTTATTAAAATTTTATCAAATATGCCATCAATAAAATACAATAATGAGACATCATTGTAATGTGTGTACTATTGTCTTATTAAATTTTTGTCAAATGTGTCATTCTAAAAATGTGACAATCAGATATTATTCTAATATGTGCATTATTATCTTATTATTTTTCCAAATGTGAGTATAAGACTTATAAATTTATAAGAATATTATGAATATAGAATTTATTAGTAAATGAACCATTAATAAATGAACTTAAAAAATTCATCACCGTTATGCTTTACAAACTTAAATATAAATCTTTAAATTCGTATAAAATAAAATAAAATCAGCTAGTGTCCAGAGAAAAGTATAGTGAATTCTACTAAAAGGATATGGCAACATCCTCATCACGTGAAAATCTACTAAAAGGATATGGCAACATCCTCATCACATGAAAATAGGGTCGACAAAGAGTTCACAATAGTTCCAGTTCAAAAAAAAGAGTACACAATAGTTCAAAAAATATAACCAAAATTGCAAAGAAGTAACAAATTAATAACAAGAAAAAAGATAGAGACAACTATCAAACTGGGACTCTGTGAAAAGTCAACACCTCATATATATATATATATATATTACTGGAGGTTGATATATATATATATTACTCTAGAATTTTTGTTGTGTCACATTTTATGGCAAAACCTAATAAATAGACAAAACCCAAAAGGCAACTTTTGTGGGGATCACTCCCACTGGAGGTCTAAGTCATTTTTCTTTAGATCACTAGTAGTCCCTCCCAAATATTTAATCGGATAGAAATGTGTATCAACACCTCTAAAACACTAATTCCATGGTTTTGTTGATACATTAACATCACAACCAACAAAAAATAAAATTTGCTAAATGTTCCCACAAATGGCATTTTCAGTATTTTAATGATTATATCTCATGAAAGAACTCAAAATTACCTGCATCTTAAAAAAATCATGTAAAAAATCACTGCCCACCAGAAAAGAAAAAAAAAATACTGTTTGAAATGTCGACATCATTTACTATTATTGTTTCAATTTATAGCAAACGTGCATACAATCTCTCTGCAAAGAAAGGGAGAAAGAAAATGCTTCCAATTCTAATCAAAATTCATGATTCTATAATACAAAAAGACACATTTATGAAAAGAATTGGGCAACAGAAACAACAGTGCAAGTTATAAATCTACTTCCAACTTCACTGCTTGCTTGGCTTCTCAATCTCTGCTTCGCAAGTCTTAGCGCTCGCTGCTTCAATCACTCCAACAGGACTCGGTGGAACTGACTTCAATATCTTCGGTTCATTGTGTGCTGGTCGAAACATGTCGATCTTCAAATGCCCTTTGAAAAGTTGGCAACATCTTTTCACCAATTCCTGTACAATACCCAAAAGTACTCAAATCAATTTCTTAATTTTTGTTTGCTTAATTTCTGAATAGCTTAGAGTTCTTTTGAAGCCATGTTGTAAAATTTGTAATCTTCCACAAAATTTTGAGTGTTTATTCTTCAGTAAGAAATTCTTCTATTTAATTATGCTAATAGATTAGTAGTAATGTCATGACAATCCAATTTTAGATACCATCTCACATGTTATCAAATCTAGCTATGGAACAGTAAAATTAAATGAAAATTTTTAATAAAAAAGACTTACTTTGCTCACTTTCTCATGAAAGATAATTGTTTTGTGATCATTCACTTTCTCATCAATCGTGCAAAGCACAGCAGCAGCTGCTATGGTTGAGGGTGTATAATCTAAGAAATCAACCACTGAAAATATAAAATTCAAGCAAGCTATAATTGGTAAGAGAGTAAAAGGGACTAATTAACTGGTCATTTGAATTTATTTATTTTACCTTGGCAGCTACTTAGAATGAGTCCTTGGACCCTATAGAACAGACAACAGAAGTGATCAACGTTTGGATTGAGACATTGAAGCTTTGCAATGAAATAATCTACAAAATCAAAGGGCGTGACGACTCGTAACCGCCATCTGAGCTTGGCCATGACAAAGAGCTCCATACGTTGAACTGTTTTGGGCTCGAACATGAATTTTGGTTCTAACACTTGTAAGTCCAACAAAAGAGGAGCTCTTGTTTCCTCCATTTTGGCAGCCAGAGACAAGCATGCCACCGATAGTAACTGCCACAGCCATCTTTTCCCCTCCTGTGCTGAACGATACTTGTTAATAATAAATTTATTATTAAAATAAAATAAAATAAAAAACAGAGGAATTTGAATTTGGAGCCATGGATTAGTGTCCTCATTCAATGGTATGATTGATTTTGAGCAACGCTATACAAGCACGATATGTGTGTACTTGTCATTTCATCTCTTAGATTAGCAACCACATTGACTTTTGTAACACAAGCATATGCAGTTTATTCAATTCAAGGGCTAGTTACCAACAACAAGAAGCATGTTTTAAAATTTATAATAAAAAAAAAAACACAAGAAATTTTTTGAATTGATGACAAGTTAATATACGTTCCACAATCTTCTAACTTGAAGTAGACAGACATGGTCCGACAATCTAAGTTTTGTACGACTGCTAACTTCAGAGTTCTGTTGGCTAATAATGTGTCTGAACCCAACGACTTCCCGTTGGATTCAAAAACACCTGTTTTCAGTAATTAATTCCAAAAACTGTTTTGGGCAACAATTCACCGAAAAAGTGATCCATGTTTTTAAAAATACCAAAACAGAAAACAAAAAACAGACAAACAGAGGTATGGTTACTAGTAAATGAAGAAGGAATTACCGGCAAAGCATGAGAACAGAGGAATCGGTCCAAGTAGTTAACAGAAAGATAAGCTGTTTCATCTCTGAAATTATAGTAACCATGCACCTAGAAAGCAAAACACATTTTGTGGAATTGATTGCAAAACAGAGTAATAATTAGATATAGACACAAAATATGTTGCAATGTAATGTAATGTAATCTAAGCCATGTCAGACAATACCTTCAACATCCAGTCAATGGCATCGAGTCGTGCCTCGACAATCTCATCCTTTTTCAGCAATTGCCGGAGTAACTCGTGTTCCAGCAATTGATCGAGCTCAGAATCGAACATATGAACAATCGAGCCCTCATCGTGGTCTTGGAGTTTGGAAGTTGAGCGAGTAATAATACATTGGCAGACCCCGGCTGCATTATCATTGGAGGAGACAACCTCACTGGCAGCCTCGCTGCAGTGCAAGGTAGGGAACACAGACATTGTGGATGATGATATGATCGAGTCAATCAATGATCAATTATTAGAGATTTTATTGTGTAATTATATGAGCAAGAGTTCAGTAATTGGCAATGATAATGACACGACTCACTCAATCTATTGGTTTGTTTGCTAAATGTACGAGTTCGAGGTTTACTAATGATGCCCAACTCACATTAATATTTATTTTTATGAATATTAAATATATTTTTTTAATTGATTTTATTTCTCTAGTTATATTTGATATTTGTGCAATTTTACACATATAATTGATCAAATTTGTTATTAACTATAAATTTATGCACATATTATGTGTGTGTGAAGTAATTAGATCAATCATGACATTTATTAAATTTGAAACATGTGTAAAAAAAAAATTGTAACAGAATTTCAATAAATATATATTTTTTAATATTTTAATCATAATCTTTTTTTTCCCTCTTAATATGCATATTAATTCAATTTTTTTTAAAATGTAATTGAGTTAACTTTAGCCAAACTTGAATTTCTCAAATTTTTTAGCATGTGTAGCTGAAACTTAATTTTTTGAGCTTGATTTAAGTTCTATTGGAGTTGTTTTCGACTAATTCTCTACAAATTAAGTTTCAACATTTCAAAAATTGCTTGACTCGTTTGCAATCATATATATATATATGGGACGGATTCAAGATTATGTCTTTGAGGGACTACTCTATAGTTTAAAAAATTGGAAGGACTACTCTATATAATTTTGAAATTATTTACAAAAAATTTGGGAGTGCAAACTCTTATAATTTTAAATTATTTTAAAATTTTTAATATAATATATGATATTTTTTAAATTTTGGAGGGGTGCGGCCCCCGGCCCTATTAGATCCATCATTGTATATATATATATATATTTTCGTGACATTAAAATCTTCCATAATTTAAATAATGAATTCTTGCTGTTGATGTTTGGTAATGCTATACTTGAGAAGAAAATCACGGATTGTACGATGAGATGGAGACAACGAGGTCTCAAAAATCATTTTCTGAGGGTGACATAGCTAAATAAAGGGGGACATTGGAGGCTCTGTGTGAAACTTCGCCGTGGAACAGCCAAATTCAATGGGGACAATTGGGTTCATCCGAAGGCTTGGTTTTTGTCTCTAACTCCACTTACGTACCCCTTCTATGTCAATATTTTCAATCATTGTACTTTGCTCAGCCAAAATTACACCATGATATACAATTATACAGGCAAAAAAACTTAGAGAGAGAGAGAGAGAATGGACAAGACTTCAAATATAAATAAGATTTTGATATTTTAAAACTTTCATTATATTATACACAGTGTCGGTTTTTAAAAAAAAAAAATTAGGGTCAAAATTCAAAAACTTAATACATGACAAATCTATTAATTTCAATTTCTCAAATCACAAATAAAAGAGAATAGTAATGTATTGATAATGTTGTTTCAACAAATATATATATATATATATAATTTTATATAAATATATTTTCATTTTTTTATTAGGATAACAAGATGATACTTTTCTTGTAATCTTTGATTTGAAATAAAAAATTTAAGTCCACATAACTTCACTTAAAAAATAGATATATATATATATATATATAGAGAGAGAGAGAGAGAGAGAGAGATAATTTAGCCCCAAAAAAAAATTTAAGCAACAATTCTTAGGAAATTTTTTTACCCTGGTAGAGGTGGTCGGTGGTTGAGGAATGTCGTGGCTGGAGGTAATCGATAATGGTGCGGTAGTTATAAGTAATGGGTGGTGATTAGAAAGAGTAGAAAAGAAAAAAAAAAAAGTAAAATCAACTTTTTTGTAAACTATTTACAATTTTTAAAAAATCTATCAATATAAATAGAAAACTATAAATATAGATGCCACCAACAAGTCCTTAACAAATATGTTTTTGTTTTTAAGATAAATTACACTAACACCTCCTGAGATTTATATTTATTACAGTTTTTCATTCACTTTTTTGAAAATTACATCTCCCTCTGAGATTTAAAATTTCATTACAGATTCCCACCTCAACAATTTAATTTTTTTAAATACCAATTTTGCCCTTATTGGGTAAATTACATTGACACCCCTCACATTTTAGAAATTACAATCCCCTTTCTAAGGTTTAAAGTAGCATTACCAATTGTCCCTCGGTTAGTATTAGTTGCGAAAAAAAATTCATTGAAAAAAAAAATTCATTGGAAAAAAATTATTTGAAAAAAAATTAATTAAAAAAAAAATTTTGTTAGTAAAATTTTAAAATTTTTGTTTAAAAACCAACGTAAATTTATTTTTTGAATTTACGTTTTTTTCTCAAATTTACAAATTGAGATAACTATTTATAAACCAAAAAATTATCAAACAAGTTTTTATGACAGTTTTTAAAAATTTTGTAAATATAAATTGAAAATTGAAAACGAAATGGTTACAAAACAAGTCTCAGATGGTAAAAATGTCATAAAATTAGCAAATAATTAAATAAGTTACCAATGCAAGAAATGACTTATCAAAAGATTCTTAGACTATGTATAGTTTGATTTTTAGAATTTTTTCTTAAAAATTAAAAATTAATTTGGTTAAGAAATAAAAAATAAAAAATAATTATCATTTTTATAAAATTTATATTTTTATATAATTAATTTGGTTTATATTTATATTTACAAAAATTTTAAACATAATTATCGTTTTCAGTTTTCAATTTATATTTACAAAAATATAAAAAAATGTCATCAAAACTTGTTTGATAATTTTTTTGGTTTATAAATGGTTGTCTCAGTTTGTAAATTTGAGGAAAAAACGTAAATTCAAAAATACGTAAATTCATTTTTTGAATTTACGTTGGTTTTTAAACAAAAATTAAAAAAATTTACTAACAAATTTTTTTTTCAATTAATTTTTTTTTTCAATGAATTTTTTTTTCCAACTAATACTAACCGAGGGGGCAATTGGTACTGTTACTTTAAATCTTAGGGAGGGGATTGTAATTTCTAAAATGTGAGGAGTGTCAATATAATTTACCCAATTAGGGCAAAATTGGTATTTAAAAAAATTAAATTGTTGAAGGGAGAATCTGTAATGAAACTTTAAACCCCAGAGGAGGAGATGTAATTTTCAAAAGGTGAGGAAGGAACTGTAATAAATATAAACCTCAGGGGTGTCAGTGTAATTTACCCTTGTTTTTAAAAGTTAGTGGGCCATGGATTGAATGTTCGATGTTGTAGGTGTTTAGTAAAGTGAGTTGGGCTAGTTGGGCTTTCAATGTGGGTTAGGATGTTCAAAATCGAAGAATGGGCTAATTTAACATATATATTATTAATTTATTAAAATTAAAATAAAAATAAATTCAAGGTCTGGGATACAGGGAGATGACTTATCATTTTGCCATACACTGTTAAAATTTTAGAATAATTTTCACTCTCAAATTTTCTTTTGAGACATTCATTTGAATGGAAGTTAGCTCTCCTTGTCATTTACCATCTGACAATACTATAAGCCAAGCCCATATTCACTGGCCAACCTTGGATCAGGCCCATCAGTGTTAGATTTGGGCTAATATTTGATAATCGATGACTTTTTTTAACTGGGTCAAATTACAAATATACCTTTTGAAATTTAATTAAAACATGAATAACACCTTATGATTTTGAAAATTACATTCAACCCCTTAAAGTTTTTAATTTCATAACAAATCGCCCTTTTTATTAATAAATCATCAAGCTAATTAACTGTTTTTAATGATATTAAAAATATGTTTCAATTAATAATTTAGGTAATTTTATTATTATATAGGAGAGTAATTATGAATTTTATTTTTTTTAGTTAATTCTGTTAAATAAAAAATTCTAACAAGGGGGGGTATTTATAATTTTTCAAATCACAAAGAACAATTTATATTTTAAACAAATCTCAAGAGATGTATTCATAATTTACCCTTTTAATTATTATTTTGTATTACTAGATTTAGTGACTAGACTTTGGCCCTGTTTGGTAGATCTGTGGGAAAGTACTTATAACTTGTACCTTAACAGCTTATAGCTTATAATTATGAGCATAAGCTGATTTCTGACTTATAAATAAAGCATCTCCTACCCCACTCAAAAAATAAGCTGATTTATGACTTACAAAAAGTTATAAGCTGCATTACTAAGTTAAACCAAACACATCAAAATAACTTAAATTAAACTAAAAATTAAAATAAATAACTTTTAAACTACACCAAACAGTAACTTTATTTACCTTCATTGTTTTCTTAACATTGATATCCACCTAATTCATGATATAACAATGGTGACATAAAGCATTTCTTTTCTTCTTTTTTTTTTTTCTTCTTTTTTTTTTGTGTTAAGCTTCAGTACAATGGTCGCAATAAAATAGGAACAGCAACTAGCAATTGATTGGCTCAATGGTAAAAGCAATTGATTGGTTCAATGGTAAAAATCTAGGTTGCGAGTTTTTTAAATTTGATTCGAGAATAGAGTTGTATTTTAAGTTTGTAACTTTTAGAATTATGATTTGAGTGTGGAAAATTTGTTTAGTAAATGAGTTTTGAAAAGAGTTTTGAATTAAGTGAAAAAATTTTAATGTGACATATGATATTTAATACAAAAATTTATAACTCGTAATCAAACATACAACTCAAAATTCTATTCAAAACTCATAAAAAAAAAAAATTTAATTCCAAATTTTTTTTATTTAAAATATAAAAAATAATAGGTGGCATTTGTAAAAAATAAAAAATAAAAGCACTACACTCAAATTTTTAAAAATTCCGATTAATCCAAATTTTCCGTCCTTAGACAGAGTTTTTAAAAGGGAGGGTGAAATTAATTTTTAAAAACCGTAAATAAACACTACATTTGTCCAAGTTTGGCATGTCTTAAAAAAGACAAAAAGTTACTATCCTATTTAAGTCGCATCATTTTATTTAAGTCACATCACCTCTCTAACACATCACTTTAAATCCAACCCAAATCCAATTTATATTTTATAAAAAATTAAAAAATATATTTATTTAGGATCCCAAACTAAACGAAGAAAGCCCCTAATTTTTCTCCTTCAATGTGTGGATTTGAGTCTTTATAATTGCTTAGTGATATTAGACG